AGAGGCACACGCGGACGAAGGCGGCTACTCCAAGGAAACCACGCAACAGCAGACTCAGAACCCTCAGCGCCAGCACCCTCAGCAGCTCCAGAACCTCCAGCTCCAGTGCCACCAGCGCCAGTACCTCCAGTAGCTCCAGAACCTCCAGCGCCAGCACCCTCAGCAGCTCCAGAACCTCCAGCTCCAGCTCCCTCAGCAGCTCCAGAGCCTCCAGCAGAAACAACTCCAGTGGCAGAGTCACCAGCTCCAGCGCCTCCCGCAGCAGGGCCCCTAGCTCCAGCAGCGCGACCCTGACGGCCAGCGTACCACTCAAGCAGCTGCTGTGGGGAGAGAGGGAGTCGACGACGAGAGTGCAGCGGCGAGGCACCAGCGGAGCGACTACGGAGACGGCCGCTCCAGGGAGACTGCTCACCAGACGCCTCAGCGCCCCCAGGCTCAGCACCCCCAAACTCCTCACGCCCAGGCTCAGCACCTCCAGTCTCCGCACCCCCAGGCTCCGCACCTCCAGGCTCCGCACCCCCAGGCTCAGCACCCCCAGGCTCAGCACCCCCAGGCTCCGCACCCCCAGGCTCAGCACCCCCAGAAGCAGCACCCCGAGCAGGACCACCCTCAGCAGGACCTGAGTCACCAGTGACCTCAACCGGCTCAGTCAAGGGAGGAGGGTCTACCTGAGACACACCTGAAGGAGCAGGACCGGGAGCGGGGAGGGGGTCTACCTGGGGAGCACCAGGAGCGAGGAAGAGCGGCGGGGGGGGGAGAGGGGCAGTGCGGTAGGGGAAGAGACGGTAAAAGGGAACCGACTCGTCGAACGTGACGTCCTGAGAGGGGAAGACACGGCGCGAGGTGGGGTGGTAAAACTGCCAACCAGGCGCGTCAGAGACAAAGCCAAGGAAGACACAGGGAACAGCGCGGGCGGAGAGCTTGTCCGCGGTGGTATCGCGGACAAAGGCACGAGCACCCCAAACCCGGAAACGTGACGCATCGCCAACCTTCCCCGTCCACAGCAGTGTGGGCGAGGTCTCCGGCAAGGAGACACGGGGCCAGAGGTTGAGCTGATGCGCGGCGTACCGGACCGCAAACGGCCACAGAAAATGGGGGGCAGCCGCATGGATCATGGAGGTACGAGCGACCTCCATGACTAGGCCAATGCGGCGCTCAGCAACCCCATTCTGCTGCGGAGAGGCCGGAAGCGTGAACGTCTGGCGGATGAAGTGCTCCGCACAGTAGGCTGCCAAGAGGTCTGAGGAGAACTCACCACCTCTGTCAGAGTGCAGACGCAGGACAGGAAAGTCCGACTGGAACCGCTCGCGGAGCTGGAGACGAACCGCGCGGATCCAAGGGATCAAAACATCAGGGACCTCCCCCTTGCTGCGCAAGGGGAAGACCGTGTTGTGACGCGTGTAGTCGTCGACGACCAGCAGGAAGTACCGCTCGTGGCCCTGTCCACGGACGCGGGCTGGGCCCCACACGTCCAGGTGGAGAGTCTGCAGGGGAGCCTCTGTGGGAGGGAACGAGGAGGAGTGAGGAGCGGCGCACTGTCGCCCCTCGACACAGGGAAGACAGGGAGGAGCAGGCGAGGGTGGTAGAGGAGGCAGAGTCTCTGGAAGTCCAGAGACAAGGAAACGGCGGTGCATGCTACGAAGGCGCTGCACCGAGGGGTGACCAAGGCGGTGGTGCCAAAGGAGGGTCTGGTGCGAGAAAGCGCGACGCAGGCAGGGGGCCGCTAGCTGACCTGACGCAAACGCAGACGCAGACGCAGCTACCTGAGGGGACACAGTAGTCAGTGTGTACAGACTCGAGCCAGGCGCTCGGGTGAACGTGGCCAGGTGCCGACCAGTCCAGGAGCACGTACAGTGGGTCACACGCTGGCCTCCAGGGGTGAACCGGTCAACCCACACATCCTGTAGGTCAGCTTCACTCACCAAGTTCGTAGAGAACGAGGGGAGGTGAAGACCTGACAGGGAGCCAGACGGGACCGCCGGACACGGCAGGACCGTGGAGGAGTGCGCAAGGACTGGACCCCCAGAGGGGTCTGCCAGGGAGACTGCAACCGGCCGCCGGAGCGGCGTGAGGGTGGTGCTCTCGCGAAAGAAGGAGCGGGAAGCACCTGAGTCAAGTGTGAAGGTGTACAAGGCCTCAGCAGGCGCAGTACCAGAGAGAGCAGACTCACCAGCACCTGGAGCAGCAGCCTCACCATTACCTAGAGCAGGAGACGCACTAGCACCTAGAGCAGCAGCCTCACCAGCACCTAGAGCAGCAGGCTCTATACCTGGGTCAGGCGGTACGCACAGGGAACAGGCACGGTCAGCACTAGTAGGCAATGCATACATGGTAGTGAGAATAGCATCATAGTCAAGAGCAAAGATATCTACCCTCTGTCCAAGCAGCTCCAGCCAGGAGGGGAGCTCAGCCTCGTCGCCAAACTCGGTACGCCAGGCGTCGCTCAGACGGGAGAAGCAGCGGGACTGTGTGTGACCAAGCGTCCCGCAAGCCTGACCGGTCCGATCACCTGTGCGAATGACGTACGGGCAGCGAACGGTACTCAAAGACCCTCTACTCTGAGCGTACCACTCGTGAAGCTGCTGGGACGTAAGTGTCTCGCATGGACGCCGCTGCAGCTGCAGCTGGCCACTGCCAGTCGCTCCCAACTGACCAGCTCCAGGGCGACAGCTACGACGGCGACCGCCACAACCCCAACTAGCGTACCACTCACTAAGCTGCTGGGGCGTGAGAGACTCGCGTGAACGTCGCTGGAGCTGCATCTGGCCACCGCCAGTAGCAGTAGTAGCAGCAGCAGCAGTCTAGCAGTAGTAGTAGCGCGGGCAGGGCTGGCGCGGCAGACAGGCAGGCAAGCAGGCGTGGCAGGCAGGCAGGCAGGTAGGTAGGTGCTCACCAGTGGCGAGAAGGGCAGGCGCACGACGGCGGCGACGGTGGGGCCGCGACAGCTGCGGCAGAGCAGGACCGCGCCGGAGGTAGGGCAGGTCCGCGACAGCTGCTGCAGGGCGGGGACGTGACGGCAGCAGAAGGCTCCGCGGCAGCTGCTGCAGGGCAGGGCCGCGACGGCGGCAGGAGGCTCCGCGGCAGCTGCTGTAGGGCGGGGCCGCTACTGTGGCAGGGCGCTCCGCGGCAGCTGCTGCAGGAGTGACGGCGGCGTCCAGGGGCAGCCGCGGCGCACGAGGCTGCAGCGCGCTACGCGAGCCGCGGGCGCGGCGCGCGAAGTCGCCGCGGGCTGCGCGAGGACAGCAGCCGCGGCGCGCGGGGCTGCAGCGCGACGCGCGGGCAGCGAACGCGACGCGCGGGGCTGCAGCGCGACGCGTGGGCAGCGGACGCGACGCGCGGGGCTGCAGCGCGACGCGCGGGCTGTGGGCGCGACGCGCGGGGCTGCATCGCGACGCGCGGGCTGTGGGCGCGACGCGCGGGGCAGCGACCTGGCGGGGCGGCGCCCTGGCCTGACGAGCCTGCAGGGGCGGCTCGCAGGCGTGACGTGTCTGCAGGTGCGGCGCGTAGGCCTTACTGGCCTGCAGGGGCGGCGCTCTGGCCTAGGGTAGCAGTAGGCAGCATGAGGGCTGCAGGACGGCGCGCGCAGCGCAGCACGTCACAAGGCAAGGCAGGCAGGCAGGCCAACACGTGGGGTAACGCGGTAACCGCAACGGTAGGTGGGCCCGAAAAAAAAACGGTCCTACGGACCTAGTGCTCTGAAACCATGTTAGAATCTAGCAGCAGGAATGGATGAACTATGAAAGAGTTGGGTACAAGTATGAAACCCTAAAAGGGGCTGTACCCCATATTGGCTACCCCACTACAGCCTACACATATAGAACATGCATATGCTTTGACACACTGGACAGCTGCTGTGAGGGTGACGAAGTACCTAGCGACGACATCAGGCGTGGGGCTGCTTCTTGGAGGGAGACAGTCTGTCGTACTTACTGGACACTGTGACTCTTCTTACGCTGACGACGCCGAGACTCACAGGTCTACTCAGGGGTACTGCTTCAGCCTGGGCTCTGGAGCTGTTTCGTGGAGGTCCACGCGTTCCTCCTCGGTCTCGACCTCACCGCTGAGGCTGAGATCTACGCTGGAATCATGGCTGCACAGGAGCTGCGTTGGTTGACTTTCTTGCTCACCGACCTTGGTGAGCGGCCGAGCTCTGCACCGGCCGATTCTCCTCTGTCGAGAGCCGCGACTGGAGAGCAGAGTGAAGCACATCAATGTTATGTACTTTCTTCTGCGAGAGTTGCAGAGGCGTGGACAGGCTCGCTTCGACTTTGTGGAGTCCGAGGCCAACACTGCAGACATCTTCACCAAGGCCCTTCCGCCTTGTGACCACCAGAGGTGTTGTGTGCAGTTAGGTCTCGTTGACACAGGTTCTTGCCTTGCGTAGTCTTGAGTTCTCTGCTTGCTTTGTTCGTACGCTTTATATATACCTCTGTGAACTCTTGAACTGGCCTTGTGGCTCTTTTGCTTGTGCTCAGAGTGTGTGGTGACATTGTGATCCACCCTGAGCTTTGTTGCTTTGTGACTGGTCTTGTGACCGTACGTTGTTGGTTTTGCTTGACACCCCTCACTTAGGCTATGGGGGTGTGTCAGATGTTATAGTCTTAGTGATGTGTGTCATATCGGGTACAACAGTTAGGGTTAGGTTTATGTACCCCAACCAACCTTAGTGAAATTATCATTCAGTTCTTGACACAAAAGGCTGTTTCCAAACGGAGGTAGGATGTGCGAATTGGAGCTGAGATTTTGACACCCTCGTTGATGTCCAAGAAGTTTGTTCTTATACAAGAGATTTTGACACCCTCGTTGATGTTCTTGTATAAGTTTGATCCCTGTGTGAAACCAAAGGGCACTCTGTATTAAACAGGCATTTTATTCCTCTAAACCGTAGTTGGATTCTTACAAAAAGGAGACACATACTTGTTTGTGCTAACGGTGGGTAACGTGCTTGTGATAATGGAAACAGTGGACATTCCTGCACTATACATAAATATTTTTTGGTGTCACGATGGCAGCCTTGATTCAAAATCTTCCAAAACCAAATGCAATTTGAAATACGGTAAAAGACAGCAGCTGGTGGTGGAGACATCAGAGACTGCCGATGCTGCTGTGGTAACCAGACTAATCACAGCAAGCAGCAGCACAAGGCAACATGCAGCTCGTTGCATTGCTATAGCTCCTCCGCCATCCTGGTGCTGCCCCCCCTCCGTCTGCAGCTTCGCCGCCCGCATGGCTGCCACCGTTATTGGCCGCAGCCATAACACACGGTTAACACCTCCACCACCATCGCTGCCGCTGCCAGCAGCACCGTCTGAACCTGCCTTGCCCAATCCTGACAGGCCTGCACCAGTGCGCTCGCGCCAGCTGTCCTCGGCTAATTGGATGAGGGGGCCACTGCACGGACGAGATGAGTCGTCGCGGAATACCTTTGCAATACTGCCTGTGATATTGCCAGCACCAGCACTCACTGTCCCCCCCCTTCTCGCCTGTCCCCTCCTCTGTCGCGACTTCATCCCTTGTTCCCCCTCCACTCCTGCCACTGCAGCATTGTCGCTCACTGCAGCCCGCACATTCCGTCTCTCCCTGTCGCTCCCAGCCTCCGCTGCTTCATCTTCATCCCCATCCATCCGCCATTCCTCTGTGTCGCTCCTCCATCCATGGTCCACCCTCCTGCTGCCTCTGTTACCACCCCTCCCTCTCATCATACCTCCACCACACTCTCTCCCGATTGTCGTCATTCTCCCTGCTCTCCATCCCACCTGACCAGGCATCTTTCCAGCACACTCCTTGCACTCACATTCCTGCCGGTCACACAATTGGCAATCCCGCTCTCTGAAACGCCACTCATCACATGGGCAGCAAGAACAAGGAGTCGGGCCAAAGCAAGCATGCTTGGTGAAGGAAGGCACTTGAGAGTTGTGAGTGCAACTGCCTCCGTTATCTCTCTTCGCTTCAGCCCTACCCTAGTTCAGCCCTTGGCTCTCGGCAGCGCCATCACCACCTCCTTCTGGCATGCAGTGGAACGGAGAGTGCGAGTATGAGTGCAGCAGGACATGCGATGTGGTGCAAATGTTCCCTACTTCCGAACAGCTTATTCACATAGAAGAAACATTGAGTTGAGGCTGATAAATCGTAAAGAAAAGAAGCACCTGAAAGAAAAGAGGGCAGCCAAGAGGATCGATGGCTGGATGGATGCGTGTTGCGAGGAAGCAGAAGGCGTGGATGCTGGTGGGCACGTGCATGGGACATGGCAGGCACGCATGTTGTCAGGCTGTGGTAGGCAGGCAGGAAAGCAGAAAAGGAGGTAAGACGGCAGAGTGCAAGAAAGAAAGGTTGGCACGGACGGAACAACTATGAAAACTTAGGAGCTGCTGTAACTTGTATTGATGTGAGAAAATGGCACCATGTGACATTGTGAAATAACCTGAGACAATGCAACACAACGCATGACAAATGTGCGTCAGCAAGGGCAGGCACTCACGTGGCTGCACCTACCTGCACACGTGGCTGCACCTACCTGCACACGTGGCTGCACCTACCTGCACACGTGGCTGCACCTTGAGTGTTCACCGAACATCCAGCGAGCAGCACCCTGCTGCTGTTGAGCTGCTTCACGTCCAGCATGCCCTGAATCCGCTCTCCCTCGCTTCAGGGCATGCGAGGGCAGGTGAGGCCAGGTGAGGTGAGGGTACAGGAGGGCAGGTGAGGCCAGGTGAGGTGAGGGTACAGGAGGGCAGGTGAGGCCAGGTGAGGTGAGGGTACAGGAGGGCAGGTGAGGCCAGGTGAGGTGAGGGTACAGGAGGGCAGGTGAGGCCAGGTGAGGTGAGGGTACAGGAGGGCAGGTGAGGCCAGGTGAGGTGAGGGTACAGGAGGGCAGGTGAGGCCAGGTGAGGTGAGGGTACAGGAGGGCAGGTGAGGCCAGGTGAGGTGAGGGTACAGGAGGGCAGGTGAGGCCAGGTGAGGTGAGGGTACAGGAGGGCAGGTGAGGCCAGGTGAGGTGAGGGTACAGGAGGGCAGGTGAGGCCAGGTGAGGTGAGGGTACAGGAGGGCAGGTGAGGCCAGGTGAGGTGAGGGTACAGGAGGGCAGGTGAGGCCAGGTGAGGTGAGGGTACAGGAGGGCAGGTGAGGCCAGGTGAGGTGAGGGTACAGGAGGGCAGGTGAGGCCAGGTGAGGTGAGGGTACAGGAGGGCAGGTGAGGCCAGGTGAGGTGAGGGTACAGGAGGGCAGGTGAGGCCAGGTGAGGTGAGGGTACAGGAGGGCAGGTGAGGCCAGGTGAGGTGAGGGTACAGGAGGGCAGGTGAGGCCAGGTGAGGTGAGGGTACAGGAGGGCAGGTGAGGCCAGGTGAGGTGAGGGTACAGGAGGGCAGGTGAGGCCAGGTGAGGTGAGGGTACAGGAGGGCAGGTGAGGCCAGGTGAGGTGAGGGTACAGGAGGGCAGGTGAGGCCAGGTGAGGTGAGGGTACAGGAGGGCAGGTGAGGCCAGGTGAGGTGAGGGTACAGGAGGGCAGGTGAGGCCAGGTGAGGTGAGGGTACAGGAGGGCAGGTGAGGCCAGGTGAGGTGAGGGTACAGGAGGGCAGGTGAGGCCAGGTGAGGTGAGGGTACAGGAGGGCAGGTGAGGCCAGGTGAGGTGAGGGTACAGGAGGGCAGGTGAGGCCAGGTGAGGTGAGGGTACAGGAGGGCAGGTGAGGCCAGGTGAGGTGAGGGTACAGGAGGGCAGGTGAGGCCAGGTGAGGTGAGGGTACAGGAGGGCAGGTGAGGCCAGGTGAGGTGAGGGTACAGGAGGGCAGGTGAGGCCAGGTGAGGTGAGGGTACAGGAGGGCAGGTGAGGCCAGGTGAGGTGAGGGTACAGGAGGGCAGGTGAGGCCAGGTGAGGTGAGGGTACAGGAGGGCAGGTGAGGCCAGGTGAGGTGAGGGTACAGGAGGGCAGGTGAGGCCAGGTGAGGTGAGGGTACAGGAGGGCAGGTGAGGCCAGGTGAGGTGAGGGTACAGGAGGGCAGGTGAGGCCAGGTGAGGTGAGGGTACAGGAGGGCAGGTGAGGCCAGGTGAGGTGAGGGTACAGGAGGGCAGGTGAGGCCAGGTGAGGTGAGGGTACAGGAGGGCAGGTGAGGCCAGGTGAGGTGAGGGTACAGGAGGGCAGGTGAGGCCAGGTGAGGTGAGGGTACAGGAGGGCAGGTGAGGCCAGGTGAGGTGAGGGTACAGGAGGGCAGGTGAGGCCAGGTGAGGTGAGGGTACAGGAGGGCAGGTGAGGCCAGGTGAGGTGAGGGTACAGGAGGGCAGGTGAGGCCAGGTGAGGTGAGGGTACAGGAGGGCAGGTGAGGCCAGGTGAGGTGAGGGTACAGGAGGGCAGGTGAGGCCAGGTGAGGTGAGGGTACAGGAGGGCAGGTGAGGCCAGGTGAGGTGAGGGTACAGGAGGGCAGGTGAGGCCAGGTGAGGTGAGGGTACAGGAGGGCAGGTGAGGCCAGGTGAGGTGAGGGTACAGGAGGGCAGGTGAGGCCAGGTGAGGTGAGGGTACAGGAGGGCAGGTGAGGCCAGGTGAGGTGAGGGTACAGGAGGGCAGGTGAGGCCAGGTGAGGTGAGGGTACAGGAGGGCAGGTGAGGCCAGGTGAGGTGAGGGTACAGGAGGGCAGGTGAGGCCAGGTGAGGTGAGGGTACAGGAGGGCAGGTGAGGCCAGGTGAGGTGAGGGTACAGGAGGGCAGGTGAGGCCAGGTGAGGTGAGGGTACAGGAGGGCAGGTGAGGCCAGGTGAGGTGAGGGTACAGGAGGGCAGGTGAGGCCAGGTGAGGTGAGGGTACAGGAGGGCAGGTGAGGCCAGGTGAGGTGAGGGTACAGGAGGGCAGGTGAGGCCAGGTGAGGTGAGGGTACAGGAGGGCAGGTGAGGCCAGGTGAGGTGAGGGTACAGGAGGGCAGGTGAGGCCAGGTGAGGTGAGGGTACAGGAGGGCAGGTGAGGCCAGGTGAGGTGAGGGTACAGGAGGGCAGGTGAGGCCAGGTGAGGTGAGGGTACAGGAGGGCAGGTGAGGCCAGGTGAGGTGAGGGTACAGGAGGGCAGGTGAGGCCAGGTGAGGTGAGGGTACAGGAGGGCAGGTGAGGCCAGGTGAGGTGAGGGTACAGGAGGGCAGGTGAGGCCAGGTGAGGTGAGGGTACAGGAGGGCAGGTGAGGCCAGGTGAGGTGAGGGTACAGGAGGGCAGGTGAGGCCAGGTGAGGTGAGGGTACAGGAGGGCAGGTGAGGCCAGGTGAGGTGAGGGTACAGGAGGGCAGGTGAGGCCAGGTGAGGTGAGGGTACAGGAGGGCAGGTGAGGCCAGGTGAGGTGAGGGTACAGGAGGGCAGGTGAGGCCAGGTGAGGTGAGGGTACAGGAGGGCAGGTGAGGCCAGGTGAGGTGAGGGTACAGGAGGGCAGGTGAGGCCAGGTGAGGTGAGGGTACAGGAGGGCAGGTGAGGCCAGGTGAGGTGAGGGTACAGGAGGGCAGGTGAGGCCAGGTGAGGTGAGGGTACAGGAGGGCAGGTGAGGCCAGGTGAGGTGAGGGTACAGGAGGGCAGGTGAGGCCAGGTGAGGTGAGGGTACAGGAGGGCAGGTGAGGCCAGGTGAGGTGAGGGTACAGGAGGGCAGGTGAGGCCAGGTGAGGTGAGGGTACAGGAGGGCAGGTGAGGCCAGGTGAGGTGAGGGTACAGGAGGGCAGGTGAGGCCAGGTGAGGTGAGGGTACAGGAGGGCAGGTGAGGCCAGGTGAGGTGAGGGTACAGGAGGGCAGGTGAGGCCAGGTGAGGTGAGGGTACAGGAGGGCAGGTGAGGCCAGGTGAGGTGAGGGTACAGGAGGGCAGGTGAGGCCAGGTGAGGTGAGGGTACAGGAGGGCAGGTGAGGCCAGGTGAGGTGAGGGTACAGGAGGGCAGGTGAGGCCAGGTGAGGTGAGGGTACAGGAGGGCAGGTGAGGCCAGGTGAGGTGAGGGTACAGGAGGGCAGGTGAGGCCAGGTGAGGTGAGGGTACAGGAGGGCAGGTGAGGCCAGGTGAGGTGAGGGTACAGGAGGGCAGGTGAGGCCAGGTGAGGTGAGGGTACAGGAGGGCAGGTGAGGCCAGGTGAGGTGAGGGTACAGGAGGGCAGGTGAGGCCAGGTGAGGTGAGGGTACAGGAGGGCAGGTGAGGCCAGGTGAGGTGAGGGTACAGGAGGGCAGGTGAGGCCAGGTGAGGTGAGGGTACAGGAGGGCAGGTGAGGCCAGGTGAGGTGAGGGTACAGGAGGGCAGGTGAGGCCAGGTGAGGTGAGGGTACAGGAGGGCAGGTGAGGCCAGGTGAGGTGAGGGTACAGGAGGGCAGGTGAGGCCAGGTGAGGTGAGGGTACAGGAGGGCAGGTGAGGCCAGGTGAGGTGAGGGTACAGGAGGGCAGGTGAGGCCAGGTGAGGTGAGGGTACAGGAGGGCAGGTGAGGCCAGGTGAGGTGAGGGTACAGGAGGGCAGGTGAGGCCAGGTGAGGTGAGGGTACAGGAGGGCAGGTGAGGCCAGGTGAGGTGAGGGTACAGGAGGGCAGGTGAGGCCAGGTGAGGTGAGGGTACAGGAGGGCAGGTGAGGCCAGGTGAGGTGAGGGTACAGGAGGGCAGGTGAGGCCAGGTGAGGTGAGGGTACAGGAGGGCAGGTGAGGCCAGGTGAGGTGAGGGTACAGGAGGGCAGGTGAGGCCAGGTGAGGTGAGGGTACAGGAGGGCAGGTGAGGCCAGGTGAGGTGAGGGTACAGGAGGGCAGGTGAGGCCAGGTGAGGTGAGGGTACAGGAGGGCAGGTGAGGCCAGGTGAGGTGAGGGTACAGGAGGGCAGGTGAGGCCAGGTGAGGTGAGGGTACAGGAGGGCAGGTGAGGCCAGGTGAGGTGAGGGTACAGGAGGGCAGGTGAGGCCAGGTGAGGTGAGGGTACAGGAGGGCAGGTGAGGCCAGGTGAGGTGAGGGTACAGGAGGGCAGGTGAGGCCAGGTGAGGTGAGGGTACAGGAGGGCAGGTGAGGCCAGGTGAGGTGAGGGTACAGGAGGGCAGGTGAGGCCAGGTGAGGTGAGGGTACAGGAGGGCAGGTGAGGCCAGGTGAGGTGAGGGTACAGGAGGGCAGGTGAGGCCAGGTGAGGTGAGGGTACAGGAGGGCAGGTGAGGCCAGGTGAGGTGAGGGTACAGGAGGGCAGGTGAGGCCAGGTGAGGTGAGGGTACAGGAGGGCAGGTGAGGCCAGGTGAGGTGAGGGTACAGGAGGGCAGGTGAGGCCAGGTGAGGTGAGGGTACAGGAGGGCAGGTGAGGCCAGGTGAGGTGAGGGTACAGGAGGGCAGGTGAGGCCAGGTGAGGTGAGGGTACAGGAGGGCAGGTGAGGCCAGGTGAGGTGAGGGTACAGGAGGGCAGGTGAGGCCAGGTGAGGTGAGGGTACAGGAGGGCAGGTGAGGCCAGGTGAGGTGAGGGTACAGGAGGGCAGGTGAGGCCAGGTGAGGTGAGGGTACAGGAGGGCAGGTGAGGCCAGGTGAGGTGAGGGTACAGGAGGGCAGGTGAGGCCAGGTGAGGTGAGGGTACAGGAGGGCAGGTGAGGCCAGGTGAGGTGAGGGTACAGGAGGGCAGGTGAGGCCAGGTGAGGTGAGGGTACAGGAGGGCAGGTGAGGCCAGGTGAGGTGAGGGTACAGGAGGGCAGGTGAGGCCAGGTGAGGTGAGGGTACAGGAGGGCAGGTGAGGCCAGGTGAGGTGAGGGTACAGGAGGGCAGGTGAGGCCAGGTGAGGTGAGGGTACAGGAGGGCAGGTGAGGCCAGGTGAGGTGAGGGTACAGGAGGGCAGGTGAGGCCAGGTGAGGTGAGGGTACAGGAGGGCAGGTGAGGCCAGGTGAGGTGAGGGTACAGGAGGGCAGGTGAGGCCAGGTGAGGTGAGGGTACAGGAGGGCAGGTGAGGCCAGGTGAGGTGAGGGTACAGGAGGGCAGGTGAGGCCAGGTGAGGTGAGGGTACAGGAGGGCAGGTGAGGCCAGGTGAGGTGAGGGTACAGGAGGGCAGGTGAGGCCAGGTGAGGTGAGGGTACAGGAGGGCAGGTGAGGCCAGGTGAGGTGAGGGTACAGGAGGGCAGGTGAGGCCAGGTGAGGTGAGGGTACAGGAGGGCAGGTGAGGCCAGGTGAGGTGAGGGTACAGGAGGGCAGGTGAGGCCAGGTGAGGTGAGGGTACAGGAGGGCAGGTGAGGCCAGGTGAGGTGAGGGTACAGGAGGGCAGGTGAGGCCAGGTGAGGTGAGGGTACAGGAGGGCAGGTGAGGCCAGGTGAGGTGAGGGTACAGGAGGGCAGGTGAGGCCAGGTGAGGTGAGGGTACAGGAGGGCAGGTGAGGCCAGGTGAGGTGAGGGTACAGGAGGGCAGGTGAGGCCAGGTGAGGTGAGGGTACAGGAGGGCAGGTGAGGCCAGGTGAGGTGAGGGTACAGGAGGGCAGGTGAGGCCAGGTGAGGTGAGGGTACAGGAGGGCAGGTGAGGCCAGGTGAGGTGAGGGTACAGGAGGGCAGGTGAGGCCAGGTGAGGTGAGGGTACAGGAGGGCAGGTGAGGCCAGGTGAGGTGAGGGTACAGGAGGGCAGGTGAGGCCAGGTGAGGTGAGGGTACAGGAGGGCAGGTGAGGCCAGGTGAGGTGAGGGTACAGGAGGGCAGGTGAGGCCAGGTGAGGTGAGGGTACAGGAGGGCAGGTGAGGCCAGGTGAGGTGAGGGTACAGGAGGGCAGGTGAGGCCAGGTGAGGTGAGGGTACAGGAGGGCAGGTGAGGCCAGGTGAGGTGAGGGTACAGGAGGGCAGGTGAGGCCAGGTGAGGTGAGGGTACAGGAGGGCAGGTGAGGCCAGGTGAGGTGAGGGTACAGGAGGGCAGGTGAGGCCAGGTGAGGTGAGGGTACAGGAGGGCAGGTGAGGCCAGGTGAGGTGAGGGTACAGGAGGGCAGGTGAGGCCAGGTGAGGTGAGGGTACAGGAGGGCAGGTGAGGCCAGGTGAGGTGAGGGTACAGGAGGGCAGGTGAGGCCAGGTGAGGTGAGGGTACAGGAGGGCAGGTGAGGCCAGGTGAGGTGAGGGTACAGGAGGGCAGGTGAGGCCAGGTGAGGTGAGGGTACAGGAGGGCAGGTGAGGCCAGGTGAGGTGAGGGTACAGGAGGGCAGGTGAGGCCAGGTGAGGTGAGGGTACAGGAGGGCAGGTGAGGCCAGGTGAGGTGAGGGTACAGGAGGGCAGGTGAGGCCAGGTGAGGTGAGGGTACAGGAGGGCAGGTGAGGCCAGGTGAGGTGAGGGTACAGGAGGGCAGGTGAGGCCAGGTGAGGTGAGGGTACAGGAGGGCAGGTGAGGCCAGGTGAGGTGAGGGTACAGGAGGGCAGGTGAGGCCAGGTGAGGTGAGGGTACAGGAGGGCAGGTGAGGCCAGGTGAGGTGAGGGTACAGGAGGGCAGGTGAGGCCAGGTGAGGTGAGGGTACAGGAGGGCAGGTGAGGCCAGGTGAGGTGAGGGTACAGGAGGGCAGGTGAGGCCAGGTGAGGTGAGGGTACAGGAGGGCAGGTGAGGCCAGGTGAGGTGAGGGTACAGGAGGGCAGGTGAGGCCAGGTGAGGTGAGGGTACAGGAGGGCAGGTGAGGCCAGGTGAGGTGAGGGTACAGGAGGGCAGGTGAGGCCAGGTGAGGTGAGGGTACAGGAGGGCAGGTGAGGCCAGGTGAGGTGAGGGTACAGGAGGGCAGGTGAGGCCAGGTGAGGTGAGGGTACAGGAGGGCAGGTGAGGCCAGGTGAGGTGAGGGTACAGGAGGGCAGGTGAGGCCAGGTGAGGTGAGGGTACAGGAGGGCAGGTGAGGCCAGGTGAGGTGAGGGTACAGGAGGGCAGGTGAGGCCAGGTGAGGTGAGGGTACAGGAGGGCAGGTGAGGCCAGGTGAGGTGAGGGTACAGGAGGGCAGGTGAGGCCAGGTGAGGTGAGGGTACAGGAGGGCAGGTGAGGCCAGGTGAGGTGAGGGTACAGGAGGGCAGGTGAGGCCAGGTGAGGTGAGGGTACAGGAGGGCAGGTGAGGCCAGGTGAGGTGAGGGTACAGGAGGGCAGGTGAGGCCAGGTGAGGTGAGGGTACAGGAGGGCAGGTGAGGCCAGGTGAGGTGAGGGTACAGGAGGGCAGGTGAGGCCAGGTGAGGTGAGGGTACAGGAGGGCAGGTGAGGCCAGGTGAGGTGAGGGTACAGGAGGGCAGGTGAGGCCAGGTGAGGTGAGGGTACAGGAGGGCAGGTGAGGCCAGGTGAGGTGAGGGTACAGGAGGGCAGGTGAGGCCAGGTGAGGTGAGGGTACAGGAGGGCAGGTGAGGCCAGGTGAGGTGAGGGTACAGGAGGGCAGGTGAGGCCAGGTGAGGTGAGGGTACAGGAGGGCAGGTGAGGCCAGGTGAGGTGAGGGTACAGGAGGGCAGGTGAGGCCAGGTGAGGTGAGGGTACAGGAGGGCAGGTGAGGCCAGGTGAGGTGAGGGTACAGGAGGGCAGGTGAGGCCAGGTGAGGTGAGGGTACAGGAGGGCAGGTGAGGCCAGGTGAGGTGAGGGTACAGGAGGGCAGGTGAGGCCAGGTGAGGTGAGGGTACAGGAGGGCAGGTGAGGCCAGGTGAGGTGAGGGTACAGGAGGGCAGGTGAGGCCAGGTGAGGTGAGGGTACAGGAGGGCAGGTGAGGCCAGGTGAGGTGAGGGTACAGGAGGGCAGGTGAGGCCAGGTGAGGTGAGGGTACAGGAGGGCAGGTGAGGCCAGGTGAGGTGAGGGTACAGGAGGGCAGGTGAGGCCAGGTGAGGTGAGGGTACAGGAGGGCAGGTGAGGCCAGGTGAGGTGAGGGTACAGGAGGGCAGGTGAGGCCAGGTGAGGTGAGGGTACAGGAGGGCAGGTGAGGCCAGGTGAGGTGAGGGTACAGGAGGGCAGGTGAGGCCAGGTGAGGTGAGGGTACAGGAGGGCAGGTGAGGCCAGGTGAGGTGAGGGTACAGGAGGGCAGGTGAGGCCAGGTGAGGTGAGGGTACAGGAGGGCAGGTGAGGCCAGGTGAGGTGAGGGTACAGGAGGGCAGGTGAGGCCAGGTGAGGTGAGGGTACAGGAGGGCAGGTGAGGCCAGGTGAGGTGAGGGTACAGGAGGGCAGGTGAGGCCAGGTGAGGTGAGGGTACAGGAGGGCAGGTGAGGCCAGGTGAGGTGAGGGTACAGGAGGGCAGGTGAGGCCAGGTGAGGTGAGGGTACAGGAGGGCAGGTGAGGCCAGGTGAGGTGAGGGTACAGGAGGGCAGGTGAGGCCAGGTGAGGTGAGGGTACAGGAGGGCAGGTGAGGCCAGGTGAGGTGAGGGTACAGGAGGGCAGGTGAGGCCAGGTGAGGTGAGGGTACAGGAGGGCAGGTGAGGCCAGGTGAGGTGAGGGTACAGGAGGGCAGGTGAGGCCAGGTGAGGTGAGGGTACAGGAGGGCAGGTGAGGCCAGGTGAGGTGAGGGTACAGGAGGGCAGGTGAGGCCAGGTGAGGTGAGGGTACAGGAGGGCAGGTGAGGCCAGGTGAGGTGAGGGTACAGGAGGGCAGGTGAGGCCAGGTGAGGTGAGGGTACAGGAGGGCAGGTGAGGCCAGGTGAGGTGAGGGTACAGGAGGGCAGGTGAGGCCAGGTGAGGTGAGGGTACAGGAGGGCAGGTGAGGCCAGGTGAGGTGAGGGTACAGGAGGGCAGGTGAGGCCAGGTGAGGTGAGGGTACAGGAGGGCAGGTGAGGCCAGGTGAGGTGAGGGTACAGGAGGGCAGGTGAGGCCAGGTGAGGTGAGGGTACAGGAGGGCAGGTGAGGCCAGGTGAGGTGAGGGTACAGGAGGGCAGGTGAGGCCAGGTGAGGTGAGGGTACAGGAGGGCAGGTGAGGCCAGGTGAGGTGAGGGTACAGGAGGGCAGGTGAGGCCAGGTGAGGTGAGGGTACAGGAGGGCAGGTGAGGCCAGGTGAGGTGAGGGTACAGGAGGGCAGGTGAGGCCAGGTGAGGTGAGGGTACAGGAGGGCAGGTGAGGCCAGGTGAGGTGAGGGTACAGGAGGGCAGGTGAGGCCAGGTGAGGTGAGGGTACAGGAGGGCAGGTGAGGCCAGGTGAGGTGAGGGTACAGGAGGGCAGGTGAGGCCAGGTGAGGTGAGGGTACAGGAGGGCAGGTGAGGCCAGGTGAGGTGAGGGTACAGGAGGGCAGGTGAGGCCAGGTGAGGTGAGGGTACAGGAGGGCAGGTGAGGCCAGGTGAGGTGAGGGTACAGGAGGGCAGGTGAGGCCAGGTGAGGTGAGGGTACAGGAGGGCAGGTGAGGCCAGGTGAGGTGAGGGTACAGGAGGGCAGGTGAGGCCAGGTGAGGTGAGGGTACAGGAGGGCAGGTGAGGCCAGGTGAGGTGAGGGTACAGGAGGGCAGGTGAGGCCAGGTGAGGTGAGGGTACAGGAGGGCAGGTGAGGCCAGGTGAGGTGAGGGTACAGGAGGGCAGGTGAGGCCAGGTGAGGTGAGGGTACAGGAGGGCAGGTGAGGCCAGGTGAGGTGAGGGTACAGGAGGGCAGGTGAGGCCAGGTGAGGTGAGGGTACAGGAGGGCAGGTGAGGCCAGGTGAGGTGAGGGTACAGGAGGGCAGGTGAGGCCAGGTGAGGTGAGGGTACAGGAGGGCAGGTGAGGCCAGGTGAGGTGAGGGTACAGGAGGGCAGGTGAGGCCAGGTGAGGTGAGGGTACAGGAGGGCAGGTGAGGCCAGGTGAGGTGAGGGTACAGGAGGGCAGGTGAGGCCAGGTGAGGTGAGGGTACAGGAGGGCAGGTGAGGCCAGGTGAGGTGAGGGTACAGGAGGGCAGGTGAGGCCAGGTGAGGTGAGGGTACAGGAGGGCAGGTGAGGCCAGGTGAGGTGAGGGTACAGGAGGGCAGGTGAGGCCAGGTGAGGTGAGGGTACAGGAGGGCAGGTGAGGCCAGGTGAGGTGAGGGTACAGGAGGGCAGGTGAGGCCAGGTGAGGTGAGGGTACAGGAGGGCAGGTGAGGCCAGGTGAGGTGAGGGTACAGGAGGGCAGGTGAGGCCAGGTGAGGTGAGGGTACAGGAGGGCAGGTGAGGCCAGGTGAGGTGAGGGTACAGGAGGGCAGGTGAGGCCAGGTGAGGTGAGGGTACAGGAGGGCAGGTGAGGCCAGGTGAGGTGAGGGTACAGGAGGGCAGGTGAGGCCAGGTGAGGTGAGGGTACAGGAGGGCAGGTGAGGCCAGGTGAGGTGAGGGTACAGGAGGGCAGGTGAGGCCAGGTGAGGTGAGGGTACAGGAGGGCAGGTGAGGCCAGGTGAGGTGAGGGTACAGGAGGGCAGGTGAGGCCAGGTGAGGTGAGGGTACAGGAGGGCAGGTGAGGCCAGGTGAGGTGAGGGTACAGGAGGGCAGGTGAGGCCAGGTGAGGTGAGGGTACAGGAGGGCAGGTGAGGCCAGGTGAGGTGAGGGTACAGGAGGGCAGGTGAGGCCAGGTGAGGTGAGGGTACAGGAGGGCAGGTGAGGCCAGGTGAGGTGAGGGTACAGGAGGGCAGGTGAGGCCAGGTGAGGTGAGGGTACAGGAGGGCAGGTGAGGCCAGGTGAGGTGAGGGTACAGGAGGGCAGGTGAGGCCAGGTGAGGTGAGGGTACAGGAGGGCAGGTGAGGCCAGGTGAGGTGAGGGTACAGGAGGGCAGGTGAGGCCAGGTGAGGTGAGGGTACAGGAGGGCAGGTGAGGCCAGGTGAGGTGAGGGTACAGGAGGGCAGGTGAGGCCAGGTGAGGTGAGGGTACAGGAGGGCAGGTGAGGCCAGGTGAGGTGAGGGTACAGGAGGGCAGGTGAGGCCAGGTGAGGTGAGGGTACAGGAGGGCAGGTGAGGCCAGGTGAGGTGAGGGTACAGGAGGGCAGGTGAGGCCAGGTGAGGTGAGGGTACAGGAGGGCAGGTGAGGCCAGGTGAGGTGAGGGTACAGGAGGGCAGGTGAGGCCAGGTGAGGTGAGGGTACAGGAGGGCAGGTGAGGCCAGGTGAGGTGAGGGTACAGGAGGGCAGGTGAGGCCAGGTGAGGTGAGGGTACAGGAGGGCAGGTGAGGCCAGGTGAGGTGAGGGTACAGGAGGGCAGGTGAGGCCAGGTGAGGTGAGGGTACAGGAGGGCAGGTGAGGCCAGGTGAGGTGAGGGTACAGGAGGGCAGGTGAGGCCAGGTGAGGTGAGGGTACAGGAGGGCAGGTGAGGCCAGGTGAGGTGAGGGTACAGGAGGGCAGGTGAGGCCAGGTGAGGTGAGGGTACAGGAGGGCAGGTGAGGCCAGGTGAGGTGAGGGTACAGGAGGGCAGGTGAGGCCAGGTGAGGTGAGGGTACAGGAGGGCAGGTGAGGCCAGGTGAGGTGAGGGTACAGGAGGGCAGGTGAGGCCAGGTGAGGTGAGGGTACAGGAGGGCAGGTGAGGCCAGGTGAGGTGAGGGTACAGGAGGGCAGGTGAGGCCAGGTGAGGTGAGGGTACAGGAGGGCAGGTGAGGCCAGGTGAGGTGAGGGTACAGGAGGGCAGGTGAGGCCAGGTGAGGTGAGGGTACAGGAGGGCAGGTGAGGCCAGGTGAGGTGAGGGTACAGGAGGGCAGGTGAGGCCAGGTGAGGTGAGGGTACAGGAGGGCAGGTGAGGCCAGGTGAGGTGAGGGTACAGGAGGGCAGGTGAGGCCAGGTGAGGTGAGGGTACAGGAGGGCAGGTGAGGCCAGGTGAGGTGAGGGTACAGGAGGGCAGGTGAGGCCAGGTGAGGTGAGGGTACAGGAGGGCAGGTGAGGCCAGGTGAGGTGAGGGTACAGGAGGGCAGGTGAGGCCAGGTGAGGTGAGGGTACAGGAGGGCAGGTGAGGCCAGGTGAGGTGAGGGTACAGGAGGGCAGGTGAGGCCAGGTGAGGTGAGGGTACAGGAGGGCAGGTGAGGCCAGGTGAGGTGAGGGTACAGGAGGGCAGGTGAGGCCAGGTGAGGTGAGGGTACAGGAGGGCAGGTGAGGCCAGGTGAGGTGAGGGTACAGGAGGGCAGGTGAGGCCAGGTGAGGTGAGGGTACAGGAGGGCAGGTGAGGCCAGGTGAGGTGAGGGTACAGGAGGGCAGGTGAGGCCAGGTGAGGTGAGGGTACAGGAGGGCAGGTGAGGCCAGGTGAGGTGAGGGTACAGGAGGGCAGGTGAGGCCAGGTGAGGTGAGGGTACAGGAGGGCAGGTGAGGCCAGGTGAGGTGAGGGTACAGGAGGGCAGGTGAGGCCAGGTGAGGTGAGGGTACAGGAGGGCAGGTGAGGCCAGGTGAGGTGAGGGTACAGGAGGGCAGGTGAGGCCAGGTGAGGTGAGGGTACAGGAGGGCAGGTGAGGCCAGGTGAGGTGAGGGTACAGGAGGGCAGGTGAGGCCAGGTGAGGTGAGGGTACAGGAGGGCAGGTGAGGCCAGGTGAGGTGAGGGTACAGGAGGGCAGGTGAGGCCAGGTGAGGTGAGGGTACAGGAGGGCAGGTGAGGCCAGGTGAGGTGAGGGTACAGGAGGGCAGGTGAGGCCAGGTGAGGTGAGGGTACAGGAGGGCAGGTGAGGCCAGGTGAGGTGAGGGTACAGGAGGGCAGGTGAGGCCAGGTGAGGTGAGGGTACAGGAGGGCAGGTGAGGCCAGGTGAGGTGAGGGTACAGGAGGGCAGGTGAGGCCAGGTGAGGTGAGGGTACAGGAGGGCAGGTGAGGCCAGGTGAGGTGAGGGTACAGGAGGGCAGGTGAGGCCAGGTGAGGTGAGGGTACAGGAGGGCAGGTGAGGCCAGGTGAGGTGAGGGTACAGGAGGGCAGGTGAGGCCAGGTGAGGTGAGGGTACAGGAGGGCAGGTGAGGCCAGGTGAGGTGAGGGTACAGGAGGGCAGGTGAGGCCAGGTGAGGTGAGGGTACAGGAGGGCAGGTGAGGCCAGGTGAGGTGAGGGTACAGGAGGGCAGGTGAGGCCAGGTGAGGTGAGGGTACAGGAGGGCAGGTGAGGCCAGGTGAGGTGAGGGTACAGGAGGGCAGGTGAGGCCAGGTGAGGTGAGGGTACAGGAGGGCAGGTGAGGCCAGGTGAGGTGAGGGTACAGGAGGGCAGGTGAGGCCAGGTGAGGTGAGGGTACAGGAGGGCAGGTGAGGCCAGGTGAGGTGAGGGTACAGGAGGGCAGGTGAGGCCAGGTGAGGTGAGGGTACAGGAGGGCAGGTGAGGCCAGGTGAGGTGAGGGTACAGGAGGGCAGGTGAGGCCAGGTGAGGTGAGGGTACAGGAGGGCAGGTGAGGCCAGGTGAGGTGAGGGTACAGGAGGGCAGGTGAGGCCAGGTGAGGTGAGGGTACAGGAGGGCAGGTGAGGCCAGGTGAGGTGAGGGTACAGGAGGGCAGGTGAGGCCAGGTGAGGTGAGGGTACAGGAGGGCAGGTGAGGCCAGGTGAGGTGAGGGTACAGGAGGGCAGGTGAGGCCAGGTGAGGTGAGGGTACAGGAGGGCAGGTGAGGCCAGGTGAGGTGAGGGTACAGGAGGGCAGGTGAGGCCAGGTGAGGTGAGGGTACAGGAGGGCAGGTGAGGCCAGGTGAGGTGAGGGTACAGGAGGGCAGGTGAGGCCAGGTGAGGTGAGGGTACAGGAGGGCAGGTGAGGCCAGGTGAGGTGAGGGTACAGGAGGGCAGGTGAGGCCAGGTGAGGTGAGGGTACAGGAGGGCAGGTGAGGCCAGGTGAGGTGAGGGTACAGGAGGGCAGGTGAGGCCAGGTGAGGTGAGGGTACAGGAGGGCAGGTGAGGCCAGGTGAGGTGAGGGTACAGGAGGGCAGGTGAGGCCAGGTGAGGTGAGGGTACAGGAGGGCAGGTGAGGCCAGGTGAGGTGAGGGTACAGGAGGGCAGGTGAGGCCAGGTGAGGTGAGGGTACAGGAGGGCAGGTGAGGCCAGGTGAGGTGAGGGTACAGGAGGGCAGGTGAGGCCAGGTGAGGTGAGGGTACAGGAGGGCAGGTGAGGCCAGGTGAGGTGAGGGTACAGGAGGGCAGGTGAGGCCAGGTGAGGTGAGGGTACAGGAGGGCAGGTGAGGCCAGGTGAGGTGAGGGTACAGGAGGGCAGGTGAGGCCAGGTGAGGTGAGGGTACAGGAGGGCAGGTGAGGCCAGGTGAGGTGAGGGTACAGGAGGGCAGGTGAGGCCAGGTGAGGTGAGGGTACAGGAGGGCAGGTGAGGCCAGGTGAGGTGAGGGTACAGGAGGGCAGGTGAGGCCAGGTGAGGTGAGGGTACAGGAGGGCAGGTGAGGCCAGGTGAGGTGAGGGTACAGGAGGGCAGGTGAGGCCAGGTGAGGTGAGGGTACAGGAGGGCAGGTGAGGCCAGGTGAGGTGAGGGTACAGGAGGGCAGGTGAGGCCAGGTGAGGTGAGGGTACAGGAGGGCAGGTGAGGCCAGGTGAGGTGAGGGTACAGGAGGGCAGGTGAGGCCAGGTGAGGTGAGGGTACAGGAGGGCAGGTGAGGCCAGGTGAGGTGAGGGTACAGGAGGGCAGGTGAGGCCAGGTGAGGTGAGGGTACAGGAGGGCAGGTGAGGCCAGGTGAGGTGAGGGTACAGGAGGGCAGGTGAGGCCAGGTGAGGTGAGGGTACAGGAGGGCAGGTGAGGCCAGGTGAGGTGAGGGTACAGGAGGGCAGGTGAGGCCAGGTGAGGTGAGGGTACAGGAGGGCAGGTGAGGCCAGGTGAGGTGAGGGTACAGGAGGGCAGGTGAGGCCAGGTGAGGTGAGGGTACAGGAGGGCAGGTGAGGCCAGGTGAGGTGAGGGTACAGGAGGGCAGGTGAGGCCAGGTGAGGTGAGGGTACAGGAGGGCAGGTGAGGCCAGGTGAGGTGAGGGTACAGGAGGGCAGGTGAGGCCAGGTGAGGTGAGGGTACAGGAGGGCAGGTGAGGCCAGGTGAGGTGAGGGTACAGGAGGGCAGGTGAGGCCAGGTGAGGTGAGGGTACAGGAGGGCAGGTGAGGCCAGGTGAGGTGAGGGTACAGGAGGGCAGGTGAGGCCAGGTGAGGTGAGGGTACAGGAGGGCAGGTGAGGCCAGGTGAGGTGAGGGTACAGGAGGGCAGGTGAGGCCAGGTGAGGTGAGGGTACAGGAGGGCAGGTGAGGCCAGGTGAGGTGAGGGTACAGGAGGGCAGGTGAGGCCAGGTGAGGTGAGGGTACAGGAGGGCAGGTGAGGCCAGGTGAGGTGAGGGTACAGGAGGGCAGGTGAGGCCAGGTGAGGTGAGGGTACAGGAGGGCAGGTGAGGCCAGGTGAGGTGAGGGTACAGGAGGGCAGGTGAGGCCAGGTGAGGTGAGGGTACAGGAGGGCAGGTGAGGCCAGGTGAGGTGAGGGTACAGGAGGGCAGGTGAGGCCAGGTGAGGTGAGGGTACAGGAGGGCAGGTGAGGCCAGGTGAGGTGAGGGTACAGGAGGGCAGGTGAGGCCAGGTGAGGTGAGGGTACAGGAGGGCAGGTGAGGCCAGGTGAGGTGAGGGTACAGGAGGGCAGGTGAGGCCAGGTGAGGTGAGGGTACAGGAGGGCAGGTGAGGCCAGGTGAGGTGAGGGTACAGGAGGGCAGGTGAGGCCAGGTGAGGTGAGGGTACAGGAGGGCAGGTGAGGCCAGGTGAGGTGAGGGTACAGGAGGGCAGGTGAGGCCAGGTGAGGTGAGGGTACAGGAGGGCAGGTGAGGCCAGGTGAGGTGAGGGTACAGGAGGGCAGGTGAGGCCAGGTGAGGTGAGGGTACAGGAGGGCAGGTGAGGCCAGGTGAGGTGAGGGTACAGGAGGGCAGGTGAGGCCAGGTGAGGTGAGGGTACAGGAGGGCAGGTGAGGCCAGGTGAGGTGAGGGTACAGGAGGGCAGGTGAGGCCAGGTGAGGTGAGGGTACAGGAGGGCAGGTGAGGCCAGGTGAGGTGAGGGTACAGGAGGGCAGGTGAGGCCAGGTGAGGTGAGGGTACAGGAGGGCAGGTGAGGCCAGGTGAGGTGAGGGTACAGGAGGGCAGGTGAGGCCAGGTGAGGTGAGGGTACAGGAGGGCAGGTGAGGCCAGGTGAGGTGAGGGTACAGGAGGGCAGGTGAGGCCAGGTGAGGTGAGGGTACAGGAGGGCAGGTGAGGCCAGGTGAGGTGAGGGTACAGGAGGGCAGGTGAGGCCAGGTGAGGTGAGGGTACAGGAGGGCAGGTGAGGCCAGGTGAGGTGAGGGTACAGGAGGGCAGGTGAGGCCAGGTGAGGTGAGGGTACAGGAGGGCAGGTGAGGCCAGGTGAGGTGAGGGTACAGGAGGGCAGGTAAGGGAAAGGAAGGAAACCATAGCTTTATAGAAAGGGCGGAAGTAAGAAGGGAGAGGGAGGTTGGGGTTGGCAGAGTTGATGTGAGTTGTGTGTGGAAGATGCAAAGAGGTCGTTGATGGCACAACGGGAAACAGGGGTGGTGCATGCAGGGTGCGTGCAGTGCAATGGTGTGTGCAGTGCAATGGTGTGTGCAGTGCAATGGTGTGTGCAGTGCAATGGTGTGTGCAGTGCAATGGTGTGTGCAGTGCAAGGGTGTGTGCCCCTGTGCGCACCCCATCCCTCTCATGTGCCCCTGTGCGCACTCCATCCCTCTCATGCGCCCCTGTGCGCACCCCATCCCTCTCATGCGCCCCTGTGCGCACCCCATCCCAGCCCCCCATGCCCGCCCCAACAGCCTGTCCACCTCATCCACATGCACGCCAGCTGGCGCCATCTTACTGGGCAGCGAGACGATGGCCCTCAATGACCTGTCCGCCACTGGGGGAGGAGGTAGGGAGGGAGAGGAGAAGGAGAGGCGGAAGGACCGAGAAGGGGACAAGGGGGGATGTCAGCAGGTGAGGAGTGGTTGAAAGGGAGGGAGGAGGAGGGAAGGGGTGGGAAGAGAAGGGAAAGGGAGGGAAATGGAGGTAAGGGGAGGGAAGAGGAAGGAAGGGGATGGAAGAGAAGGGAAAGGAGGGAAGAGGAGGGAAGGGAGGGAACATGAGGAAGTGAAGGAAGGGAGGGAGGGAAGAAAGGAACGCTCCCAACTGCTCCCCCACCCAACTGATCCCCATCCCCCCAACTCCCCATGCTTCCCCCGACTGATTCCCGCCCTCACAACTCCCCATGCTCCCCCCAGCTAATCCCCAAGAACGTTCCTCCATCCCTGCTCACCTTGCTCCAGCAGCGGGTGAGCGAGGGTGATGCTGTCGATATGAATGCAGGTGAGGTGCTTTGCGGATATTATGAGGTGGCAGGCAGAGCGGGGAGAGTGGAGGGGACGAGCAGGGGCGTGGCTTGAGTGGCCTTGCACCACACGTCAGTGCATTTCATCTTGCTGTGTGTAGAGGGGAAGGAGTGGAAACGGAAGAGAGGGAAGGGGGAGGAGAGGCGGAAAGTGGGGAAGAAGGGGTAGTGATGAAGAATATAGAAGGGAGCAGCTGAACGGATGCAGGGCTGGATGGTTGGGTGGTGGGAGGAAGCGAATGGTGAGGATGCTGGTGGGGACGTGCATGGGATGGGGCATGGCAGGCACGCATGCCGTCAGGCTGTGGTAGGCAGAAAGAAAGGCCAACACGTAACTCAGGCACTGCAGTAAGCATGTGAAACGATGGGATGGCACCATGTAACAATGTGAGAAAATTCGAGACAATGAAACACAATGAATGACAAATGTGGCAAATGTGTGTTAGTGAGTGCGGGCGCACACGTGGCTGCACCTACACGCACACGTGGCTGCACCTACCTGCACACGTGGCTGCACCTACACGCACACGTGGCTGCACCCACACGCACACGTGGGTGCACCTACACGCACACGTGGCTGCACCTACACGCACACGTGGGTGCTCAGCAGGTGTGGAGAATATGAGTGGCGAATGAGAGTCGCTACTGGGTCAAGGCTTCCAGCACCACGCTCGCACACGAAGTTCATGTCATAAACCCACCTCGCACAGTCCACTCACCATGCGATCGCATTATCCAGCACCAATTGATACAAATGTGATTCAAGAAAGGAACGCCCTGAGAGGATCAGAGCTGGCACGCTCAACGCGCCACGCACGACTCACTCGCGTCGTCCAGCGCCCTGCTGAACCCCACGTGGCAGCCCCTCAGCGCGCCGTCAGCTGCTCATCGCCTCTCACGATCGACGACCCTCATCGCCCACCCCATGCACCGATCCCTCAGCCATGCCGCGTGCGCGCAACACACGGAGTGACGGAAGGCGTTCGGATCATCCTTTAAACGCACTCATATCCGAGCGAGACCCACTGCGCGTGTCACGTGGCTGTGCTACGTGGAACGAATACTCGATAACGGAGACGACTTGGATGGATTGATGCGCGGAAGCACGCGGCGAGATTGATGCACGAGGAGCGCGAAGCGAACGAAACTGCAACCCGAATAAGCGCGGGATTCCTGAGGAAGCTATTCTCGAGTTTGCGGGCTGGTCGCTTCCGTTGCTGGTGGCGGACCTGTGGGCATGAGATGGCTCGGACTGTGCGACATGCTAACGAAGCAGTTACCGCAACAGCGACGAAAACAAAAACAAGTAAGACGAAAAGCAAAACGAGTGCCTGCGATGTTCGGGGCAGAATGGCGCAAACTGCGCCGTCGATCGCGCTATGCTAATCACCACGTAGCTAAAAACGTGCGAAACTGCTGGTGAGTTGTGGGGTGAGGATATGAGGAGGTCGCTCGCAGGATGACGAAATGCGTGACCTGAGTCCAGGAAAAAGGTTGGGAGCCATCGAATTCAGGATGGAGCTAGACCCGAGAAATGGAAGTGCTGTCAGTTTTACCCTCAAAATCAGGTCCTCTTGAGATTTGCAAGGAAACCACCTCCTTCGATCTTTGAGTGACGTTTACAGCGTAATCTCCTCTTCTTAATAAACGAGAACACTTACGTGATGTTCAGAGTCGGTTTGAGACGAAGCGGAGACTGTGGGTGGTTTGACATTTGTGATCTACACTACTGGGGCTGTTCGGACTGAATAGAGGGTGCCCCCATGGAAACACTATCTCATATCCAACACCCTTATGTAAGCGCAAGGATCCAGTGAAAGGGTCCTCTGAAACGATTTGCACCATAACATGGAAAATGTTTGACATTTACATCGTAATAGAAGTCACGAGAACCTCTGTAACGAGTTTAGGTTCCAAATCTTGGAACTTCGACGCTATGTCCCCTCGATAATCTCCTAGCCACCACCGCTAAATTCACGGAGCGTTTGCTTGGCTGTTCGTTTTGCCACTACCATACCACGACCCTAGACAACTCCTCGGGCAGTGATCATACGCCCTCGCTTGTCTGCCAGGCGTTGCCAAACCTAGAGTAGGTTTCTGCCCAGATTTTATTTTGCTCGGGCGAACATGAAGCTCGGGAGCGTGGTTGCGTTCACATCACCACGAGGCGCCGGATCTCTCGCAAGAAGGCTCGGTATATTTCCGAGACACAAATTCCTAGCTCAAAGAGGGCAGCGGAACCCAAAACTTTCGCGCCGCTCTTGCCCGAACCCCCATGAGAATCGATTAGCCAGCCAATTCGTTTCAAAGAATGCCCTACTTGATTATTTTGACCCGGGCAGCATGCCAGGACAGAGCTCAGGAATTCCCGGAGCCTGCCGGTTCGGCAGCACTTCCAGGAGGCTCTCGTTCCTCCCATTTCGTCCCCTCGACTGCTCCTACCCACAACGCTCCCTCTGCCTTGCCTCTTGCCTCGTCTTCAAATTCGCATTACCACAACCTAGTCATTTTCAGAGCATACTTCTCAGATTTCCAGCACCCTTAAGCCTACCCTCGTTATTGTTACCAGAATTCTCAACCGTTAAGCTCCACTGTCAAGGCCTGTAGCTTCTCGTTTACCGTTCCAACTTCGAATCAACTATGGCTGACTATTCGGCTGGTTATCCTACCTTCTATGAAGCGCCAGCCTCCTTCAGGAACAGGATTGCACTCATGCAATCAGTGCTTCAAGTCCCGACCTCCACACCTCTGCATCTGGCTGCGGAGGAAGAGGACACGTGGAACCACGCCTCGTGGGACTCCTCTTCTGCTGCAGAGGAGTCTTATGAGGCTCCAGAAGGCTCCTCTGTGACGGCAGAGACGTCTTATGAGGCTGCAGATTACTACTCTGAAGCCTCACAAGATCATTCTGCTGGTGCTGAGGACATTTCGGAAGAGACGTCTTGTGAAGCTGTAACGTACGCTCTTGAAGCCTCACCAGAAGTTTCTGGTGCCTCTGAGGGCCTGACGGAGACTGCAGAGGCTCCGCTTGAGGCGGCAGAGGATTCCAGCAGCAGCTGCAGCGACGGTGGCGTGTCCAAGAAAGAGAGCATCTCCAAAATCGGAATTTGCAGCGGTGACAATCACAGCAGCAGTTTTGGTTTTACCATGGCGTGGGCTCAAGTCACCAAAGAAGTGCTGAGTGGTGTTTTCAACGCCTTAAAAAACGGCAGAAACTGTGGGACCAAGAAATCGGCTGAAACTGCAGCAGTGGTGGGTGGTGCAGTGGTGGGTGGTGCAGTGGGTCCCGCTGCAAGCACAGCTCGGTCGATTGCAGGCAAGGGCTCAGCTTCGAGAATGGCAGCAGACAGGCTGAGGGAGCTGCCTTCCCGCATCCCCAAGCCAAGCAAGGGCAGTGCAGGAGGTGCTGTGAAGCATGGGACGAGGCCGGCAGCAGCAAGTGCATGCCTGCCGCCGTCCCTCATTCCCAAGCCACGGTCAGCCAAGACTGCACCTGCTGCGGTGGCGGGCTCAGGGACGGCCGAGACTGCTGTGGTAACCCGTCCTGTGGTCAGAGCAAGCAGCAGCACAAGGCAGCAGCAGGAGAGGAGGAATGGCAGTGCGGAATGCAGGGGAAGGCATCCTATTAGGGCAAATAAGGCAACAACAACAGCAGCAAGGCCTCCGTGGAGGCCGTGAGAGGTGCAGTGTGCCGTTCATTACAGTCACCTCGCTATGCAACTTGCTCACCGTGCTCCTCCCCTACTCCTGCTGTTTTGAGAATCTTCTTCATGCGCTGACAGGTTGCAGTCAGACAGAATTCAAAGCAGCAAAGACTTTGGTGTCGCAGCATTAAAAAAAAAAAAAAAAAAAAAAAAAAAAAAAAAAAAAAAAAGAGGGGGGGAGGGGGGGAATAGAGGGGGAGGGTGGGGGGGGCGGTTGGCAGTTGATGTGTGTTGTGTGTGGATGGTGCAAAGAACAGGTGGTTGGTGGCAACACGGGGCACAGCCGTGGTGCATGTGCAGAGTACGTGCAGTAATGAAGGGGTGGTGACGACAACATGCTTCTCACACATGCTGCTGGATCCCCCATGTGCTTCACTCTACACAAGGTACCGCTCTGCACAGCAACACATGACTCACAACACATCACACATGACTCACAACACACATGACTCACACCACACATGACTCACAACACACATGACTCACAACACACATGACTCACAACACACATGACTCACACCACACATGACTCACAACACACATGACTCACAACACACATGACTCACACCACACATGACTCACAACACACATGACTCACAACACACATGACTCACAACACACATGACTCACATCACACATGACTCACAACACACATGACTCACAACACACATGACTCACATCACACATGACTCACAACACACATGACTCACAACACACATGACTCACACCACACATGACTCACAACACACATGACTCACACCACACATGACTCACAACACACATGAGTCACAACACACATGACTCACATCACACATGACTCACAACACACATGACTCACAACACACATGACTCACAACACACATGACTCACAACACACATGACTCACACCACACATGACTCACAACACACATGACTCACAACACACATGACTCACAACACACATGACTCACAACACACATGAATCACATCACACATGACTCACAACACACATGACTCACAACACACATGACTCACAACACCCATGACTCACAACACACATGACTCACAACACACATGACTCACAACACCCATGACTCACAACACACATGACTCACATCACACATGACTCACAACACACATGACTCACAACGCACATGACTCACATCACACATCACTCACAACACACATGCACCTTGACGGGGGAAGGAGGAGATGGAGAGTTCCAGCATTCAACA